CTGCCAGTGGTCTCAAACTCAGATCCTTGTGAGACTGTTTCCAGCAACTTTTAGATGTGTCTCTTATCCTACATACCTGGATCAAATGGCTAAACTTTCTCGCTACTAGCAGTCACAGCATTGCTAATGTGTTCATATTGGAGTCAGCTGTGTTTAACCATAGATGCCTCTGAAAGCTGTAGGAAAAAACAAACTGATCAAAACACTATCGGACCAGACACTTGGTGTAACCTGACCAAATTGTTTTTGGTCTGTTTGGTATAGTCATGTAACATGGTAGTGCACCGGGGGGTTATCTGGATTATCACTGGAAACTTCTGCTTGAAAGATCTATCAGGTTAGGGGATAGTTCTTGTGCCATATTCTTTCATTTCCAGGTGATGGATTGAACTGCTTTTTAAATATATATATATATAGCTTTAGAACCTAACCCTGCTTCATACCTCTCCACAATTTTATTCTTGGATTTTGTTTTGTGTTTCCTAGACTTTATGGGCCTTTTTGTTCATCAGTTTTCTCTATCAAGCCTTCAAGGTCTCCACCGGAAAGGTGTATATATAAGATTAAATTACGCATAGGGAAAAATTTCATTAAACTGGGATAGCTTCTAAAGGAAAATGGTTGCACTCCATTTCATCTGGGCGTGTTAGAGTAAAGGGGCTTAAATACATTTACATGTTATAATTTTCAGCTTATTCAAAGCCTGTATTGTTTTCCTTGCTCTCCACAATTATACACAACTTTATTTTGTCTTATCACATAAAATCCCAGTAAAAAAAAAAATCAGTTGAAGTTCGTAATTTTAATATAAAAAAATACAAACAAGTCCAAGTGGTATGAAGACTCAAACAATGCACTGTTTATCCTCTACAGCAAAATAGGCATATTTAAAGTCACACAAATAATTTGATGCATGAGTTTTAAAAGTGTCATTGATGATTCAGCTCTTACCTTGACGAGGAAGAAGGACACTCCATATGTTGGCAGAGATCTGGCAAGCTTCACATACTTCACCTTCCCCTCAATTTCAGACATTTCTCCACAGTTTTTATGCTCCTGCATGGACAAAACTGTAGTTATGGTACTCTAAGCATGTGAAAAGCTTTAAAATGCTGTGGTCTACATTTTATGCACGTAGTTTATCATATCAAGTGGAAATTTTGCAAGAATTCCTGTGGACTTAGGAAATTAATAATATATTTTAGAAACATTTGCGAAACCAAAAACACATACTTGGAATATTTTCTTCTCGGACCCTCGTTGCTTGATATACTCTTTAGGTAGAAACTCTTTCAAGCTGCAAAGATAAATAGCATTTTTCACATAGTTAGTCAGTTAGCATACAGGCATTCCCTTTTCTATGAACATACCTCCTCATATGAGGTAATTCTTGCCTTTGTATCTATGTATCAGAAAAGGATTGTAAGAGCTGACATCAGCCCTAAGTTTTCCACTGCAGGAAATCCCAGAAGAGAGTGAGCTAAATGAAGCGTTAACTAACATAGAGTCCTGAGCTAACCATAAAGAAGCTCTAAAATTGTTTTTCTTTTTCTTATTTTATTTAATTGTGGCTTTAGCTAATCCTTTGAGTGAAAAAAAAATCTTACTCCAAGAATCCAGGCTTGTGTTTGTGCTCCACGTGGGGTCCGAACTGGATCTGAGCCTGGATCCCTGCAAACTCACAGGCTTTATCAAAGGAGACGGGGTGGGATCCATTCAATATATCATCTCTAGCCTGGAGGAGACACAAGGACAGAAAGCAGGGAGGGATTAGGTGAGGCTCACGTTTTGAGGTACAGGGAAAGTACTTTAAAGGCACGACAAAAAGGCCCAAATCACAGGACAGGACTCTATAACAAGCACCTTGATGGGAGATTTAGAAGCAACATGGCTTGAAAAAAGATTTCATTTACAGCAGGAGATTGTATAACTGTACTTCTAAAGGAAAGACAAGGATAAATGATTGATAAATGCTTTTGCAAATGCTAAATATGGTTTAATTTTCTCATTACAGAAAATTATAGACGATGGGTTGTAAAAGTATCAATTCTCCTTCAACAATTCAACATTTTATCAACTTTTGTGGATTTTCTCAGGATTTTATTATAATGTCCAATAAAAAGTTCTGCACAACTGTAAAACAGAAAGAAAATCATTTAAACCTAAAAATTCTATAAAATTAGAACTTTACACACATGTATATTCCTAGACCTCTTCCCCAACGACACCCCTAGGTCATAACATAATATCCTACACAGCAAAAACAATCTAGAAATAAGTCAAAATGTCTTAAATTAAGTGTATTTACCCTTAATTTGGGTAGGTAAATAAGATAATTTGCCAATGCAATCATGATTTTTACTCTTAAAAAAAGGTTATTAGATAATATATACTTGAAATAAGGCAATGAAATTGTTTTTTTCTTATTTTAAATGTAAAATGTCTTGTTCCATTGGCAAAGTGTCTCACTTACCTCCTCAGTTGAAGAAAAAATGCACTTATTTTAAGAAAAAATGATGTATCTAGATTTAGATTTTTTCCAGTACAAGATTTAAAAAGGCAAGGAGACAGGGATTGAGGTTCCCATTCCAAGACCACACCAAACATATTTTACAGTCAGAGCTTAAACGGACTGGTTTAGACATTAATATGTTTTCATTTCCTAAATGAGCTTTAAGCTTAATTATTTTCCAAATTGGTGATCAGATTTAAATTGATATTCCTTCAGATCTGATTGAATTTAAGCTTTTCTGCCAAGAAGAATGGGCAAAAGGTTTAGCTGCTTGATGACCAAACTTGTCAAAAACATATAGCTAAAGACTTGCAGCATTGATTGCCTTATTGACTTGGAAGGGCTGCTAAATAGAAATACACACATTAGTTTTCAGAGTTTAATTTGTAAAACATCTTGGAAACTAAACTTCAACATGATGCATTACATTGTGTTGTGTTCATGTACAATATAACCGAAAAATATTTGGACATTTCTGTTTATAACTGAAACATAACCAGTAATGTATCAGGCATTAATTATATCTCATACACATGCCAGTAAATGAATTACCGTTGATTTCTTCCTGCTTAGCAGAGGAGGCATTAGTCACTGAATGTTTGAAGGCATTTTTAGGCACACTCTATATTAACTTTCCCATTTGATAGGGGAAGAAAAGTCTTTGTTGACATGTTTCAAATGCTTTCCCCTGTGCGTTTGTTTCTCCAGGGGGCAGTCAGTTCTCCTTCACCCTCTCCTTCTAGTTCACTGCTGCACATTTAATAGCTTCAAGAGCTCAGAGGGCCTGCTGACAGTCAGAGACTTCGTCCATGCTTTTAGCAATGGCATATCAGTACACAGCATAGACTCAGCTCATTCTTACGTCGCATTACATCAATAAAGGCCTAAGCAGCAACTTACTGCTGTAATGAGGACAACAATGTTCTCTCACAATCACGTCCTTCGCTGAGTGCAATTCACTATGGAGCACATAAGCTCTTAGCAAACACAAGAAGATGTGCTAAAATTAGTCCTTACACATGCCTTTCATACTGATACGCACTTATCACTAGAGGCTGTTACACAAATTAGGATGCAAGGAATAATAGGACACACTCATTCTGTTGTAAGTATGACTTGGAGAGATAGAGATAATCTACTAATAGAGACAAAGTGCTTTGAAAATAATGTTGAGTCTACGAGACAAAAGAAAGGGTAAAATGGGGGAAGATTTAGAAATTAAAAAGGCATCCATAAACTCCAAACCTACCAAAATATCCAAATGTCTTACACTTTCATGAAGTAGATTTATTTTATATTTCAACTTCTGCATATGTCTAAAGCAAATGTATATAATGGACCAACAAAGTAGGACATGGATGGAAAATGGAGGCTAAATACACTTTTTGACTTCTCAGTTCTCAAAAAGATCTCAGAGTTATGATAATGTAGTATTTGGAACCAGTGATTATGGGAACTCCAATGTAATGGATTATAATACATTAGTTAAAGGTGACTAAAGTGAGGACAGTGTTCAAAGCTATCAAAGGAGTCATAACATGGAATTTACAAATATCAAATAGAGTTCATTATGACTTCATTTCAAAATCCTTCGTTTCTCATGAGGGTATGCACAAGAATTTTAATAATGTGTATTTGTATTCATGTGAATGTATTGTTAGCAACATTAGCAGTTTTCCATAGGTCTTTCACTACTTTGTCCTGGCTTCTTAGACATTAGGTATAAAATTATAGAAGCTATAACCATTACTGACTGCCTACAGGTGAGTCCTGTACAGTTTCATTATTTTTTTTCTAATTTATTGATAAGATCCCCATTAGCACTGCTATCCTGTCACCCTTCTTCATTGATTTTAATGTTAGCCCCTTTTCACTATTGACGTCAATACAGAGAAACCAAAATTATGTTTTGTTGAGCGCTTGCTCTTGTGATCTCTTCTGGTTTAAACCACACGAAAGATGCATTTTGCAGCAGGTTTTAACTGAACCTAACATCAGCACTCACATTCACAAGAAAAAGTCTGACTTCCATGTGATAACTCCTTAAGATTCACAAAGCTACTCTTCAAGGCAGCATCCTCTATATTTCTAAGGAATACTTCACTAATCTACCTCCATGTTCTTAAAAAATTGTTAAAATCCCCCACCTTTAAAGCCAAAACACTGATAAAATACTACATACAAGCAACGATTGTGTCATATAAACCAGTACATCTAAAGAAATCTACCGGCTCTTCTGAGAGACCTTTGAAGAACAAATACCACAGAATTATTTACTGGCAACAGATCTGCTTTCATTATACTCTTAAGAGCCAAATGTATTGCAGTAATTCAGAGTTATGCAGTCTCAGCCTTTCAGGGAAATGTTTGAATGACTGCTACTGCATTGCTATATACAAATACTACATGAGCACAACAAAATGTGCATATGAGTTAACAGTATTCACACAATATTTCACAAAGGATAACATTTTGCAAATTATATGAATAAAAGAAAAAAATGTTTTATGAATGTGCTGAAGATAGATTTTAATCATATATTTTTTTTACACTTAGCTGACTCTGTTAACCTTGTCTTAAAAAAACAGTTACTGCTCTATAAGAAAAAAGAACAACCTGGTCTATGTTCTTTTAATGTCTTTTTTATTTATTTATCTATTTATTGCAAGGTATCTACAGGATTGCAGCGAAGCTGAGAAAAATACAGCAACTCCACAACAATAAAGGTTATATGTTTTATTTATTTGTTAGGCCCCGTTTGTTATTGAACATATTGAATTTGGGAAAGTTGCAGTATTTTGGAGATCTCAGAGTTAAGGTGAGCATCTTCTGTATCTGAGGATGTAGAATCTGTTATTCATAGTAAGTCAAATTAAATTAGCTAAATGAGTAGATATGCAACAAGGAGGAAAAGTCCAAGATTAATTTGAAAAGGTGCACAAAAAAAAAATGGAAGCCAAAGTTGATAAGACACCAGTAGCAGTCAAAAAAAAGATATGACCATTGGTGTTCTCTGAAATAAGAGCTAAGAATGTGAAGTTGGTTTATATAGCAGATGGCGATGGTGTACGATAAGGTTTATGTCTACTGATGTGCAAAAATTATCTTTAGGTTAAAAAAGGACTAAGTAAACACTATCAGGACAAACACGTTTTAAATTGCTTTCCTATACCATGAACATGTTTATGTTATCATCATGACAGGGCTGCTTTGAAAAGTCAGAATTGTCTAAAACATGTACTGTAAGGCAAGTTATATCCATAAAGATACCAGATATGGAAAGCTCAAACTTCAGACTGTATTTTTAATAAATGTGAAATCTGAAATAAAGGTGGTAAAAAGGAAAGAAAAAAGTCAGAAACCACAAAGCCTGAGGAATATTCCACTTTGTTAAAGTCTCTCTTTTTTCTTGTTCTATTTGGCCCTTTTGACACACTGACAAATTAGTACAACTGCCATGTGAATAGCCTTTGTGATTTGTGCAACAATCCAACTGTGTGAGAGAGACAGAACAACGCAAAGATAGATGGGGAGAGCATGGAAGGGCAGGGGGTGGAGTTGTTGTGAAAAGAAATATGAGTGTGTTGAGAGGAGACCATGATGTGCATGTTAGGAGTCTAATGTGTGCCAGGAGGGTGGGGGTGTATGTAACAGTGTCACAATGAGTGTGAGATGGAGAGAAATTGAAATGGAGAGAGAGAAAATGAAGCAGAAAGGCAATACAGAAACTGAATTTAAGATTTAATAATAATTTTTGGACATAAGGGGAAATGTCAAGACAACCTATGAAAGTCTGTGTGTGCATTTGTGTATTTTTGGGTTATATGTTTTGGGAAAAATTTATATTTTAAATTCAAGTTATGAATATTAGAATAGTTTATAAATTCACCAAAACAAAACTGAAAAACTTTTATTATAGTTTAAAAATATGTAGATTTCTAAAGAATTTTAATGTAAGCCACTCCCACATAGGGGTGTGTAATATGATAATATCCTGAAGGATTAAAATCAGTAGACAACCTGCCAAAATGAGAACACTGTAAATAGAGCAAGTGAATTACATGTTATCCCTATTTATAAAAAAAAAAAAAAAAAAAAAAAAACCCAACAAGACGTGTGTTATGCGTTCCATATGTTGATGTAGTCTCAGCATCGCATTCCTGTGAACTTTGACTGGGAACTTTGACTGGGGAATGCCAATGCCATTGTTTGTCTCAGTTTTGTAAAATCCAGATGCACCGTGCTAATCTGAACAGACAACAGGCAATTGGAAAAGAGCTCCACTTATTTGATGATTCAATGAAGTAAACTCAACATTGTCCCTGTTGTCCATGCAGTTGTTGGCCAAATGTGAAGTTGTCATCAGCATACGACTGATGCGAAAAATTTGCTATAATTGTGTTTGGTGTGAAAACACCAATAGATTCCAATCCATGATAGAACTTGAGAGCCCTGAAACTCACATGACGTTCAGTCTGAGCAAAAAAGCAAGTTATATAAATACAGAGTAAAAGGGGTAGGTGCCATTGTGGCTATTTGGTCTTAACACATGCCCAAGTCAAAGTCTCAATGTGTTGGTTTTAGGAAATACCTCCAAAACATTTTCTTTTTTTTCTTGCTTCAATAAGATCGATCTTTGTACCCACTTTCAAACACATCTATCAAGCCGGTTAATTAGGCTGATTTAAGAGGTTGCTGTGGAGTCACATGTTTTTACCAATGATTTATTCAATTAAAATACAAAACTTTTCGGAGGGGCTAATTTTTTTGCCATCTTTCAGGACTTTTGATGAACGTTAAGTCATCCATAAAAGCACGTCAATAGTCAGAGGTCCACTGATTAGGATTAAGAAACCAAGAAATACAATGGGGCTTTACAATGCCTTTGGGCCTAATAAAAGGGAATCCTTAAAGTCACACTGCTCCAGAGTTCTCTAAAATGCTCTTTAGCTTACTTCAACTTAAACTTCTGATCCTCAAACTGACTGATAAAAGAGACACAAAACTGATAACTTGATAGTTTAGTATGTCTTGCATGTTTGTAAATGCTTCTTGATCTCAATGAGGGGAGATAACAGAAATAGATGATTACTGTCCAGATTAGCATGACCATAAATTGAGCTTGAACCTTAAGGTAATTACGCTCAGCCTTAGAGATAGAGAGAGGAGCTTTGTTATCACATGGAGTTCAAAACAGAGGTACCGCTTCTCCACAGTGAAAGGGTCATTTGAGGTGGTCAGGCATCTGATCAGGATGCCTCAGGGGTTTCTTGTGTTGCAGATTCACAGACACATTACACTGGGAGGAGACCCAGTGGGACATGTCAATCCACAGGAGGGACTTTATATGGTACGATCTGCTCTGAGAACATATTGTGGACTGAGCTGAAAAGTTTTGCTGAAAAGTTGAACATTCGGCTTTCCCTCCAATAACTTTTATCTTCCAAAATACAATCTAGCATATGCTTGGGAAAAAGGACCTACAAATGGATAATCAATCAGTCAAAATGTGTTTTTTTTGTCTTCCAATACTGAAGTTTTCCACAATAAAAAAGGCATTTAATTTTTTCCAATACTCTACAATGAAGAAAATAACTGCACGGCAGCGTGGAGGGTAGCACTGCTGTCTTGCAGCAAGAAGGTTCCGGGTTCCCAGCCCAGGGTCTTTCTGCATGGAGTTTGCTCCTCCCACAGTCCAAAAACATGACTGTTAGGTTAATAGGCAACTTTAAATTGTTCTAATTGTGCATGTTTGTGTGTCTGTGTGTGGCCCAGCAACAGACTGGTGACCAGTGCAGGGTGTATCCCAACTCTCACCTATAGACTCAGGATCACTGATGGAATAAGTGGCAGAAGATGGATGGATCACTGAATGGCTTCCCCTAGTTTCCCAACAGCAACGTTTTAAAGGTGCATTGTTTGATCATTGAAATAATAACTAAGTGTATCCTTCACTATGAAGAAAAACAGTAGCTTAGGTCAGGGTTCTAAAGGAAAAACTTTGTCATTGATTTGGTGAGAAAGATTAAATTGGTTCCTTAACAGTTGTCCTCCATTCATCTACCTCCTACATAGGAAATCAGATCTAAGAATGACATCAAAACAGCTTAACCATATTAGAAAGTTAGGAAAATAGGAACAGCTATACTCGACTCTGGTGTCATATTTCAAAAAACATAATGAAAAAAACACTAACCTTCCACTTCAGTACTCTTATTATCTATGAAAAATCTACAATAGAATTTCTATAATCAAAGGCAACATGACCAAGAAAGTCCAGTTGTCTTTATTTCAAGCCTGTTGTTGTTGCACTGTAAAAATGATAGATAATCTTCACAGACATTTTTTTTGCACCTATATCTTCATTTTGAAACTAGAAATTTTGAAATTTTTCAGTCCTGTTGAAAGAAAAGCTTAAATAAATTTTACCTTTCATGTAAGCAAGCACTATCAATGATTAAGAAATTGTTTTTTTTTTTTTATTATTATTTTGCATTTAATAAAATAAAAGCACAAGAGAAAATAATAATAGAAACTATTGAAAGGTTAGATGAATGCACCTGTTTTTGACTATCAAATAATATTATAAAATAAACAGTGCCCTGAATGAAATGTTTAAAATTTACAGTGCGCAAAATAGTAACATGGAGTAGTTTGTGAATCAACAGGTAATTCACATGGTCAAATATATAAGAAAGAGAAAAATATGCTTTACAATATTGTTATTCAGAGTGATGGAGGCTTAAGGGGTTTTACCTGAACGTAGAGCAGGTTTAGTTGGACTGGATCCCGTGAGTCCACATTCTGGTCAGAATAGAAGAACTTTCGCCTCAGCAGCAGGGTTTCACATTCTTCTACTCCCTGCTCTCTAAATGTCCTGCTGTGATCCAGCCAGTTTACTGCAAAATCAATAAATATAGTTTGTAAGTACATGCAAATAAAAAAAAGATCACAAATATGTTCATTGTTGAATTGAAAAGACCACTGTTAATTTTAATTAGTAACGGTAAAAATGAAAATCTCTCAAATCATTTTGAAAAAGTCAAGATTTACTGGCGAAAGAATGTTTATTTTTCATGACAAGATGGGGGAGACAGATAGGTTAGGTAACAATTCATAAACTTTGTAATTAGTAGGGATGTAAGACATTTTGGTGCCACAAGATACAATAGTATTAAAAAGCCACAGGATTTCTTTTCAATTTTCAATTGCTTCATTTAATATGACTTTGTCAAGTGAAATAAGTCTTAGCAATCATTATAACTTCAAATATGAACGTGTAGACTTTAAATACCTTCAATCCTTTATTGAGACTTTAGTTTTTTAGGTTTTAAATAAAGAGATTTTTGTGATGCTATGATGTTGTCATCAAAGCGATGGTTATAAAGACTTATCATTTGGCTGTTTACACTTTCAAACTTTCCAAACTGTCTGTGTGACAGGATTCTAGTACTTACCGAAGAAAAAAGTAGCATCAGACAAGATAATATGTAAGCACTGTGAGAATACATGACTGGCTGTGCTTTTTTTGTGACTCTATAAATCACAGTTTGCAGGTAAGAAAAAAATATTTATTTTGTGAAATCCAAAAGAGTATAGTTTTTTCAGTTCCTTTTTTTGCAAAAGGGGTATACTAGAATTAGAAAGCATAAAAAAACTCTTCGTATACTAGCCTAGGGATGTAAGTCATTGATAATGAATTAATCTAAAGTTAATATTAGTGATTGGCTAAAGATTAATTGATAAGTGGCTGTTTTCTTAAAAACCTAAAATCCCAAATTTTTCTTTTGTATCAAGATAATCTTTTCATTACATGGATGGCTACATTTTATTTTTACAATATGTTGAAATAAAAAATGTATTTAATTATATTTGGGAAATGTATTGTGTGTGCTGTATTGAATATTGACAGAATAACAAAATTATGTTGTCTTACATATTACGGTACTAAACTTAGATATATCTATAAGATAAAGCAAAATAAGAACTTTTTAGATTACTAAATAAAAAAATGAATAAAACATGCGAGACACTAATGATTTCCATTGTACAGAGATGTGAAGCCAGCATTAAATGCAGTATTTACATTTGTCTCTTTGTGTTCAGTGTAATCCAGCATGTGCTTTTCTATCCTCAACTTCCGAGCACAGCAGAGAAATTATGCTGTTTGCCATGCAGTATGGCTAAATGGGTTATTCAGTTAATATCTCACTATGTTTATTTAGTGTTTATATTTACAAACAGAATCGGATAAATTCCTTCTAGATATTTGCCATTGCTAAACAGTGTAAATAATCCCAGACCGAACTTTTGATTGATTCATTTTTCTGCAGTAGCGTGCATCCACTTTAGTATTACTTCTTTACCCAAGGCATCGGGTGCCAAGAATAAACAGTGGTGCCATCCGGTTGATTGGTGGTAACATTACAACAAAACAAACCCAAAACATTTTTATGGGACTCTATAAATTAATAACATGGAGCAAATTTTAATCCAATTACATTAGTATTTATTCACAATGATTCATAAGTCAATAATTTTTGTTACGGTAACTTCCCGAAAAGTTCTACAAAAAGATACAATGATTACAGTTTCTTTGAAACAAAGTATGTGGCTCTTTAAACATTGACTGTATTTGCAAAAGTTAAAAATTTGATTTAAAAACCTTAGCAATTATCTTTTAATTTTTGGTTTAGCAAAAAATAAAGCTAAAATCGAATATTATTTTTTGTGACTTATGTAACCTCCCATCTTGTGACCTGAAATTGACTGTTACACCCTAGTGATTAGTCTGAGTTTCAGGACATGAAATATGAAAAGTGGTATGACCTTAGAAATGCAGAAGGTATTTGGTTTAGGAGACAGTGGCATCTTTTCCTTAAATGTAACCCTGGGAAAACCACCTTTGGTTGCTCCAGTTTGAAAGGTCAACTAGTGTTCCACTTTTGCATAAATTGGTCCAGTGCTTTAAAAAAAAAAGTGCAATCACATTAGTCTATTTTTTAGTTTGACCAATCTAAGAACCACAAGTTTTTATGCACCAAATAAATTCTAGAGTTAATCTATTGTAAAGCCAAATCAGAATCTTTGAATCTGAAATTCAACCGGCACAATACGACTTCAGCAAATTTATCCAGCATCTTTGTACAGAAATATTTTCTAAGTTACACACTCCCTTCTGACAAGATATGCACCAAAATACTTTTTTAGGGAACAGGAACAGGTTTTTTTTTTCTTTTACTTCTGGAATGCATATGTCACTTCCAAATCATTGCGACCCTGGGCAGTAAGCCATATTGCCCATGTAAAGAACTGCCTCTGTCTGAGAGCAGAAACTTACAGTCATCATCTGTATGAAGTTTGGCTTTGAGTTTTTCCATTTTCCTTTCATCTCGTAGCAGAAGGGTCCTGTCTTTCTTCAATGTCCCTGTACTCTCCTCCTTCTTGTCCTCTGGAACTTCCTGTATGAGCGAGTATTCCTCATAGTTGGTAATACCTACAAAAAATTAAAAAAAAAGCATCCCCTTTAAAATGATTACAAACTATTAAATAATAGAGAAAATGCCCAGCTTCTTCAGCTTTTTTTCCCTTATTATCTCTTTCTTTATTTTTCCAGCTAAAATGAAGGAAAGCTGGTACAGAGCCAGCAGAAAGAAAAGCAAAAACACAAGGGGAGGCAGGGAAGAAGCCAAGCAGAAAGCCCTCATCTAAATAAACATTTTCCAATAAAGCTTTCTGCCAGATATACATCCTTCTCTTCCTCACCCAATTAGGTTCAGAAGCAGCCTATTAAAATGAAGTATAGAGCTTAGGGAACACTTCTCTATTATGGCAAATAGCTAAGTTTGGACATTCAGAGGAACACTTGAGGATCTATTACACACCAGCTTGTTTGAACTTTATAAGTGTGTATCTTCTCGATTCTAAACAAAACCCTAATTTGGATTTGTCAAGCAAAAAAGTGCTTCAACTGATTAAAGAATCCAGCTCTTAAACATTTTAAAGTGGTAAGGCAAAATAAAACAGTGTTTTTTTAACTGTAATGCACTCACCTATTCTACTGCATATTGTGACAAGTAGCTCTCCGACTGTTTTTGAGTCATCAACCATGATGGTTTTCACAGCACCATCCAGCATTTTGATCTTTTGCGGTCTTTGTTTCTTCTTATACTCCAAGACATCCTGTGAAAAATAGGAGGGAAAGCAGGATGACATGAAGAGCTTTGCTAATCCCGCTCGACTGTAAAGTGCTTTTGCTTCTCGCAAGCGGAGAGGCATAAATATTTCAGCTCCCACTAGAAAAATACAAATCACTTCAAGAAACGAGAAGTGACATTGACAAGCCTCCACCCTGGACTATATGATTTGGTCTTACTCCATTTCGCAGCATGTAGTAATCCAGGGTTCTCCCAGACTCAAGCCAGATTCCTTTCCTCGGATCATCGTCAGACAGGAACAAGCCATAATCAGAGGCTGGAACACAGAGCAACACAAAGCATGCAAATATTGATGGCCATGGTTTTCAATCATGAAAATTAGATTCAGGAGGCGTTGTCTAACCTTGTCCAGACTGGGCTTCTGGTACTCTCTCTCTGATGATCCTACAGGCATCATACACAGGTGTGGATGGTTCAAACTGCATCGTTTTTACCACATTGCACTGGCGCACACAAATCTTTAAAGATAAGGCCACCATCTTGGCGGGTAAGTGTTATGGCCTCACCAGCCTACACACCTGGAAAACACATACAAGAAGCATGATGTAAGATTAAGACAGGTAACGTTTTATTTTTTTATTTTTTTCTGGTATATAATCAAAATAATTAGTTTGTGTTTTGGTGGTTATTTCTCAAGGCATCATGAAAACATTGGCTGTTATAGCAATCATGTTTAAAGGGTGAAAGAGAGGTCTCAGAGCTAAAATACACCACCACAATGCACAGTGCAAATCATCACAATTACCTCCTTGGGGAGTTTTTTACCTGTCAAACTAAACATTCATCCGTAGTAAAGCTGCTGCACCAGATCATCATTCTTCAGATGTTTTCACAGTAAGGAGAATGAAGATTTTCTGCTTATATGTAAAATTAAATGAGTATGCTAATTTACCTAAACTAATTTGAAAAACAAATGTTAAGCAGAATACAGGAAAGAAACATGTAAATCCACATAATCCACCAAAAAAACTGCAGGTTTAATAAATTCTTTTTTTTTTCTCCTTATTTTTGCACTCCTTCAAACAACTTCCCAGTGAGGGAAATCTGGTTATGTTTTATCATGTGTAGCCATTAGGCTAAAATCAATTCAGCTGTTCTGGGATACGTGCTTAAAAAAGGGAGAGACATAAACTGTGAAGACTTTTTTTCTCCTCTTCCATATCAATAACCTTGTCTTTAACACAGTAATAAAGAGCAGGACTATAAATAGGCCACCTAGAAACACTACTACTTCTGCCAGCCAGAACATGGAGTTGTCACGATACAACTAAATATCCATATACAGGAATACTCTATACCATTTTCTATACCAGTGAAGTAAAAAATGACAAATAATTATTTGCATGACAGAAAAAATTTAATCTGAAAAACTCTCCTATTTCAATCTCACCAGCAGATGCTAGTTAAATAAGTGTGCAAAATAAAATAACCCAGGCATCGAAATTTAACAGCAGCAAAAAATATGTATACAACACTTGTTTTTGGTATCGATTCCATGACAAAGTAGTATTATTTCCAGATACAGCATTGAAGTATAAATACATTTTGCAGTATTGATACATCTATCAGAAACTCAAAATGAAAGCTAGGAATAGATAGGAATAAAAACTCAATTACAATCTGATGATGAAAAGAAAAATTTTGTAAAAAAAAACAAAAAACAAAAAAAAAAACACACCAAAAAACGGATTTGAATATTGTAGGCAGAAGAAATCAAATGTTTTTAGAAAGCTCTATATTCAATTCCAGGATGAACATTTTTTCTCTGCGTAATGAAATTATTTTCCTTCTTAATTACAGAAAGACCTTCACGGGCTTTCCTCCATGAAGATATAACTGACAAAAACAGTAAGAGAAGATAACAAAAGTCTATGATGGGACTAAAATTTTAGATTCTATCAAAATTTACGATAAGTCCATAGGCAGGACTGGCTGATACAGACAGCATATTTGATCTATCATAACTTAGCATGATGAACATTTGTAATGGGATTTTCTTTTATATTTAACACAGCAGTTTCACATATTTGCATTGCTGTCTTCTGGTCTTTGTAGAAGTTTCTTTAGAACTGTATATATATAGTAAATCATTTTTTGCAAGAAAATGAAATACAAAAATATTAATCTCAAATCAGGCCACCTTGTGCTACTCTTCAGTATGGACGTTGTGAGCTAGACCTAAATTTAGTAATGCTTTGTATTAATCAAGCTTTAATAATAAAGTCAGTGGAACACAATGGTGTAAATGGCTATTTCAAATTAGACATGTCTGTTATTCCATTATATGGTTGCTTTTAAAGAGGAAGGAAGACTTCCATGGACACCAAGAAGGCTAAGTGCAGCAGCAAGACACGATGAAAATGGAAATTTTAGGAGCATGTTAGAAAATTTTGTTTAGAAAAATGTTCTACATTATCTATGAAAACACTGCAAACAAAGCTAATCTTTGATGTAAGATATTAAAATGTTTAAGATACATTTCTCTTATTTTCTTTGTTCAAAAATGCCTGAAAACAGCATCTAACATCAAGTTTTCTTTAATTAAACAGAGTATCTGCCTCTCCTTCTAACATAAATTTTGAAGGGCGGTGCAAAACAGAGATGAAAAAGAAAACAAAAAAACATTGATTGCTTTTCGGGGAGGTTTCGAATCAGCATTTTGCCAAACTTACTATTGAAAAGTCAGATCTGTGCATTGCTAGATATTTTAAGAATATTCACTAACCTTAAACCAAAATTATTTCTTTATCTTACTGATAATTTTTTTGTTCATTTATTGACCTCTAATGACAAACAAGCATTTTTCGGGTGTCTTGTCTAGGGGCAAACATGCACATCACAAAAACACGATTCAAAGTTTAAGGGGGGGGGGGGGCTTGTGACCTCCCTCTGAGTCTTACCGGAGAAAGTCTGAAAAGGACATTTTCTTGTAATGATGAAGTTGTGAATGGGCCTCTGTCATAGTTGAGGGTTCCTCTCTAATAGTTCCCCTCTCTCAATGAGACAGAAAGACACACAAAGGAGAGGAGGTAATGACGCTGCATGTACTCCCATCTTTACAAGCTGGCAGAGAAGCCCCACTGAGTTTTCGTTATCCAACCATTTTACAGATGCTCTCCTAATAACATGCACTTACAGGACCCAAGACTGACAACACACAGGTCCCCAACAGACATGTCAGATGTGCCCCACCACATGGTAAATACACAAAGGTTTCCTAAAATTTCATCCCAACAAAACGGCAAGCTTCAATTTTAATGGGAACCATTTCAGATAACTTATTAGCACAGAAGCAACAGTAGCTTCTTCAGTATAAATTGGTTGAATCCACAAATATTTCAGAAAATCTAAAGAAAATCTAAAAGAGATAGTGATAATCCCCAATCTTACATGAGAGTGAGAGGCTCCAAGATCCTCATGCAAACACTCCAGTGAGCAACTTAATTAGTTCTGCTCTCTTGCAAGAGACATCTCTCTTGTGTTTCTCTGAATCATATTAATATATTGTATTACACTTTCTACATTAGGATGATGCCGTTAGAAAGTAATTTGATCACCACCGACGTTTACTGCTCCATTAGAAAAGGGTCGTGAGTTAAATCATGTTTGTTTACTGCACCAAATAGCAAGAGATGAAAATGGCCAAAGAGTAGCAAGCTGGGGAGTCTAAACATGGACAAGTCAATGAAGGCCAGACAGGGCAGGAGCCATCTGGACAGGAAACAGCTCTAATGAGTGGCTGTGTACAACAGGCAACAGAACAGATCTCAAGATCAGCAAGTGTGGTGGTCTGTCAGCGGATAGCTGAAGAAGTGGCTAGACAGTACCCTTGAGCAAAAATACTAAAAGATGATTAGAACTCATTTAGATTGGAATAAGACCACTCTATAAACTCCAGAATGTTTAACACTGTTAAACATCAACTAAGTGATGCAAATTAGTATTCATCCTTAAAGGCACACTTTTCCCCCTGATGCCTCACTGGTATTTGAAGGAGTAGAAATACCGGAGGGGACGGAGGGATGCTAAAGCAGAAACATGATCAAGAGTCCAATCTGGGATTATTTACACTGTTTAATGGCAACAAGCAGAATTTGGTTCCAATCTTAAATATTAACACTGAATAAACTACTTAAGTTATTACCTTAACATAAAATAACTCCTAAATAACAGAAGCCATAAAGAAAAATAAACTGTTCAAACCAACCCATCCCTGTCTGAAAAGTTTATCTCTAAACTATATACAATTACTATAAGGATATACAATTACTATTGCAATAACTGTATACAATATGTGCTGAAACTATATACAATTGGGCTATTATTGGAGGGATTTTTGACCTTCCTTTTGTGGTTTAAAATTATTCAATTCAATTCAAATTGAAGTGTTTCCCAGTCCAAAGAGTTTAAGGTCACAGCATCTCAACTGTATCGAAGTCTACTTATGAAGACTCTGTAGGTCGGTTTTACAGTCGTTTAGAGGTGGACCTGCTGATGTGCTTTTGATCAATGTTCTGCAGTAAAACCAGATATTAACCTTCAGGATTTATTATTAGAGGAAAGGTTTCATGACTGCATTCTAAAGAAGCACAGCGAACCCAGATATTATATTAGCACCATCCATCCATCCAGTTTCCATCACGTTTATCTCAAGCAGGGTCACGGGGCGTGCCGGTCCCTATCTCCAGCCACCTACGGGTGAGAACAGGTCGCCATCACAGGGCCATATTGGCACAATTCATTTAAATTGTTAGTGTGGCAGTATCTTTTAAAAATCTTGAGTTTGTGACTGACATATGTCGAATCAAATTTTGGGCCAGTAACTTTTACCAAACTGTCCCCCACTGTCACCTTATTTTCCTACTGTCCTAAATCATGAACACTGACCTCATTTTAAGCAACTGTTGTCAGCAGTGCTTGGTGACAAATACTAAACTGTCATTGGTAGGTCTATGTACATTTTCTTCAGATAATATACATTCACAATGCAATTCAGCTCCATCTATGATGTCATACAGATTTTTTAAAGTGTTTTTTTAATGTAAAAAAAAAAAAAAAAGCAAAAACAAATCAACCCAGAACTACCTGGCACCTTTATCATAAACTTTACCTTGCTGTGGGGAAAAAAAGATTATCAGTATTTCATCAGGTCTAAAGCCTGAAGCTGTATTTAATGAATAATGCTAAGACTATTGTCGAACAAAGGTTAAATCTGAAAACAGCTACCGCTTAATTGCCTTTAACCCTCATCCAGCCTATATGGAAAACTTGGAGGTAGAAGCACCTTGCTAGGGCTTAAAGCTCCTAACTTATGTATGGTTGCCTGAGCATTGCAGCTTCAATTACTTGTAGTACCTTTCTGTGGGACCTTGATCAGTGGAGTGACCCGATGCCCACAGAAGCAGTAATACCAAATGCATTACAATATATTTAGATAATTTGAGAACTAACATTCTGGTGCGAGTGTAATTAGGATGGAAGCAGCATAATAACTCCTCCTTTAAATTCTCAAATGATC